TGATTTATTTATTTAACATGATCAGATATTATTCTTTGTATGTATTTGATTCGAACCTAGTATTAATAAAAACGTATGAAATATTTCTCTTTTTTAATCGAATTCTAACGATCCATACTTTGAATACTTTGTGATACTTTGTTAAGAAAAACAGAGTGTCATTTTGCACTTTGCTGACAAAAACAAAATGTCATTTGAAATTTTGTTTTAGATTTCTATTAGAAACACTGTTGGTGCAATGACAATTCCAGTATCATCAACCACAACAGAAAGAACTTTTAGTAAAATAAAGCACATTAAAACTGTTGCACGTAACAGTATGTTTGACAATAGGCTCAGTGATTTATCATTATTAGCAATTGAGAGAGATTTTTGCATTGATTATGAAAAGATAATTGATGCGTTTGCTATTCCGCATAAAAACAGTTGAATAATACTGAAATAGCTGTTGTTTGTTTACTATTTTTTTCTTTTTTATGGCTTGACTTCATTTAGTAAAATAAAAGACTCATTGTTTTGTTTCTTTCTTTAGAAAAGCAAAAGTTGAGAGATTCAATTGAGCATCAGAAAAAAGTTTAACTATTGTGAATGACTTTTTTAAAGATTGTGGGGCACCGCCCGGGCACCCACGATTTCCTGGTTACGCCCCTAGGTAAAAATGAGATTCTCTATATTGCCAAAATAGAAAAACAAGAAATAAAAATGGAAATTTCCATACTACAGTGTAGAAAAATGAAAAATAATGAATAGGATTTTATTTAATATCAAATATAGAGCAAATGTTGACTGTACTTGTTCAAAAATAAGACTGAAGTTTATTTGCAAAAAAAAACCGAAGCAAGGTAGCCGGTCAGACTGATCATTTCCATGTGTATAAGAGATATTTGAGAAGTTTGATTTAATTGAAATAAATCTATAGTATTAATAAGCATTTCATATAGCTCTATGTAATTATCTATAAGTAGAATACAAAATTACCTACTAGAATTTTATGTCTCACAATCTCTTTGATTTAGAAAGCAAAAAGTGTTGTTTTGATTGTGACTGTCATCTTCGAGTTGTTTAACACATAATTAAAAGTCTCATACCGTTTTACATGTATTTGTTTTTTTGTCGATGGAAGAAAAGAAATAATACTAAAATGTACTTTCTTCCAATTGCACTGAGACATTAAACATATTAAAAATACATGACATTACATGTAATAAAAATGAAAATTGATTAAATAGTATTAAATTTAATCAAGATCTCAATTATAGCTAGATTCTTCATAGATAAATTAAAAAGGATGAAATTATTTAAATTATTTTTAGGGAGCTTATTAAATTGCATGACATTTTTTATTAACTTCATCGATTCTGTAACTGTCCATTCAAGATATAGTCATAGAAGTATTGTTTTTAGTCTAAAGCTCAAATCAATATCAATATAAATCTTTAGAAAATTCTAGACAAACAAAAAAAAAACTTTCTTCTAAGATTTAACCAGTTCAGAATGCGGTACAATAACAATTTGAAGAAGAAATCTTCACACTTATTGCTATTGTGAATAACTAAAATTATGATGAAATCTTTTACGATCGTTGCTTTTTTGTGAGAATCCCCAAAAATTTACACCTATTGAATAACCTACAAAACAAAAACTTGTAAAGATTTTAGATTAAGGTTTCGATAGGAGATTCGTATTGTCTGGTAAAGAAGCGAAAATATTTAATTGTAGAAAGATCGAAATCGATCCGTGTTCGAAACTGCTATTGTTTAAAAAACTGTGTTCCATACCCTATTAAGTTGAAAATTTGTAATACATTAGAAATGAATTCAAAATAAAAGATTTGATTGATTCGTATATAGATCATTGTTTGTCCTACAATGCAGAATAATGAACGTAACAGATTCTTCAAATATTCTTGAACTTGGGAAAGATTTGTTTTTGAGTTCTTCTTATCTACTAAAATTTGAACTTACGTATTGTTTTATCTAAACTTATCTTATTTAGCACTGCGATTAGCCTTTCTACAAACTACTTGTTTGTTTGAGATTCAGGAATAAATTACTCAATAATAAGTATGATTCAAAATTAATCGCATAAAATACTTTCGAATGGTGTATGATTTATATTTGTCACACATTCGTAAATGGAATAAGAAAGAAAAATACTTACACAAAAAATTTGTAATTTTTTTATATGAATCAGTCAAAAACGTCTTATGCATGGTAGTTAAGTATAATTAATTATCGTTATTGTCTAGCAAGATGTTTTTAACGAATTCATATAAAAGTGGGAAATTTATTTTGTCTCATTTCACTCAGAAATGTGTGACGAACATAAATCATACACTGTTTCCCATCAACTGATAACAAAATTGTTTTTCCTTACGTTCAAATTCTATTATAACTCATTTTATTGCAAAATCCAAACAAAAAAAATGAAATAATTTTTAAATATATTTCAAAATCGAACTAACGAAATCAGTGAATATGTTGAAAAAATTGGATATCAAAGAAAATTTCATTTACGATAAAATCCGAGTTCATCGCAATTTTTCACATTATCTGTTAAATTTTAGTTAGTTTTAGTAAAACTAAGGATTCTTACATAAAATATTTGAAAAAATCAACAATGTTTTGTTTTTGAACATTGAGAAAATCAGATTCTAATCAAGTTCATAAGTAAAAAGCTTTTGTAATTTAGAGCAGTTCAATATTGTTTAAAGCCAATGAGAACGACTCATTTCAATGAAATCGATGTTTATTTCTACTCCTTACTTTCGTTTCATTTCAGTACCAATGCGTGCAAGTTTCACAGATATTCATCCGAATGCAAAATGGGCACAGAATGGTATCACTGTTGCTGGAGGAAATGGATATGGCAGTGAAACCAATCAACTCTCTTGTCCATGGGGTTTGTACATCGACGATGATCAAACGATTTATGTCGCTGATTCTGCTAATTGTCGTATTGTGGAATGGAAATCTGGTGCAACGAATGGAAAAGTAGTTGCTGGTGGAAATGGATCAGGTAATGGAGCTCATCAGTTAAACTGCCCACTAGATGTGATTATCGACAAAGAGAGCGATAGTCTCATCATCAACGATAGAGGGAATATAAGAGTAGTTCGATGGCCTCGTCGAAATGGTACTAGTGGAGAAACAATTATTTCCAATATCTCTTGCGGAGGTTTGATAATGGACGACAATGGTTATCTCTATGTCGTTGACCAAGGAAAACATGAAGTGAGACGATATAAAATTGGTGACACTCAAGGAACAGTAGTTACAGGCGGCAATGGACAAGGAAATGGTCTCGATCAACTCTCTAATCCCCAATGGCTATTTGTCGATCGAGATCATTCAGTTTATATGTCTGATTATAAAAATGATCGTGTAATGAAATGGGAAGAAGGTGGAAAACAAGGCATTGTCGTAGCCGGTGACCAAGGAGAAGAAAATAGTCTTACACAATTGTATTATCCTGAAGGAGTCGTTGTCGATCAATTGGGTACTGTCTATGTGACTGATAAAGGTAATCATCGAATCATGCGTTGGCCAAAAGGAGCCACACAAGGAAGTATCATTGTTGGTGGAAACGGTCAAGGAGCACAGCCGAATCAACTCAATTATCCCATAGGTTTATCATTCGATCGACATGGTAATCTCTATGTCGTCGATCACCAAAATAATCGAGTACAAAAATTTAGTATCGTATGAAATTCAGTACGATGATGAATTTTATTTTTTTTTGTTGTCTTTTTCTTTCAAATAAATCGTGATTGAATGGAAAAATGAATTCATTGCTATTCTATTCTCTTCGCACGCGCGCGACCAGGAACCATCCTGGTGGAGCCGTGGCGAGCGTAAAGCTCATGCACGCGCGGGAAGACCCACATCATCCACATGCACCCATCCGATGTCATATGTCAGTGAGTCTGGGGGCCCGATCGTGTGCCACGGACACCAAGACAGTTCCTGGCCAGGCTTTTAGGGACTACCCGGAAGTCCTTCTTATAAAGCGAAACCCTAAACTCAACGTACCTCACTCACCCTAACTATTCTCATCTCAACGAAGAAAAGAAAAAGAAAAAAAAATTAACTCACCCGTTGATGTTGAATGATGACGTCTTTAGCAGGAAAAGAAAAACATGAATATAAAAGATCACAAGAGGACTTACCACCCTCTGTATGATCCAATAAAGAAAAAAAAATTGATACCTACATTTTTTTATTGTGTTGTATTGATTTGAATTGTATAATTTTGTATCGTCGAAATCATTCTAAAATATAAAAAGAAAAGATTGATATTTGATTCAATAAATTGAATGATTTTACATAGAAAGTAAAATAAAATATCTGTTTGCTAGGTCATGATAATCAAATATTCACGACGATTGGAAACTACAACATCAAAAGATGTTCCTCTTATATAATTACAAAGGTAAATTTTTTAAAATAAATTAGTTGTTTTATTTTATTTGAAAATACTGTGAATGGTCCACGTTCGAAAGATGCTGATGAATCAACAAATTCAATATAAAACTCTGGATGATATGATTTATTCGACTTGAACGTTAGGATTTTAAAAAGGTCTAACATTTCAAAAACAGAAGGATATTTTATCTAAATTGTTCGATATTTTAAATGTATATTCTTTTCTAGTATGTGAAGGTCGTCGTCGTTCATCTGATTTAAATGCCATACAGGTTGCTTTAAATCTTTTTTATGGATTTTAATACAACATAAAACAAAATTTTATTAGCCAATTGTAATGAAATTTTTTATGCTGATAGAGGTCTTGATTAATTCGTGAAAATGATCATATTAATATATATGATCCTTAACAAAAATGTTCATTAGCAAGTGTAAGAAAAGACAAAGTTAAATATACAATGTGGTCAAATGATACGAATTACTTATCATTATTAGGATGATTCAGGTGTTTTTCTTCATACAACATTAAATCATATTAAGTATGCATTTATCAATGGTGACCATAGAATCATTCATATACTTGATTTATATATTTGTATAACAAAAGTTAAAGTAATAGAAAATACGATGAAGTAAAATTTACAAATTTCTTTTCAAAAATCTTCATCTTGAAAACAAATGATGCAAAAACAAGATTTGGCTTAGCACTTGAATATAGAAATATTGATGTAAATTATTTGTGGTTTTTTTAAATAGTTTCAATTATCTATTTTTTGGAAAATGATGAAAATTGGTTTGAAAAATTTCTTGTTGTTTTTATTTTAATTTATTTTTTTTGTTTAGCTGAAGTACGATAAGATGTTAGTAGACAATTTCAAATTGCAATCTTATTAGGGGATGTTGAAGAACGGATGAAATTTCTTAGACAATGCAGTCAAAGTAATATTTTATATTTTTTCTCTATGAGATTGAATTATGTTATGTCTTTTTTTATACAATAGAATCATTTGATGAAAAAGTAATTTATTATGAACAAAAAATACTCGCATGTTAATACTTCATCCGAGAGGGTTTAAAAAAAATTAAAGCAATTTTGAAAGTTTTATTTTTCGTTTTCTAATATCTTCAATTGAAAGTCTTGAAAACTAGTTATAGGTTTTCATGTGAATATACCAATTTTTTTGAGATATTAAATAATTTCTAAACAATCTTTAATTGTATTCAACACATCATTTATCTAAAGAGTTTTCTGTACTGTTGTATAAAGAAGTTTATGATGATTCTCGAAGTTTATTGCGACATTGAATGATAACATGTTTTTTCTAAAAGACATTTCAAATAGTCACCATGTCATAGTTAGTTTAGTTGATTTTCTCTGATTGATATTCATTAGAATGTAGATTAAAAACAGAATAAGAAGACTTTTCATATTCTGTTTCAAAAAAGGAATAAGCCGGTAGACTGAGATTTTAACAAAGTTGTTACTATTACTTGTTCTTTGTTTAATTGATATGTTAGATATGAAATAATAAGATAGACATACATTTAATCTATATTAATCTCGTGTTAAATTTAGTAAATCAAAATAAAATATTTATTTTAGATACCTGATATAAATCTAAATGCTAAATTAATTTTACCACCATGTTCAATAAGTCAATAAGAATCAAAGCAAATTTAATATCAAACATAACAGCAAAACTTGCTTTAAATCTTCATATTGATGAAACAGCAATAAGTGGTTGAGATTGGACTGATGATGAAGTACCAATTGAAAGTGATGACGATGATCTTAATAGAGAAAATCTTAATAATAATCAAGATGAACAAGATGAAGGTTGGGGTGATATTGAAATTGAATTACCACCTGATCTTGTATGTTTTTATTCAAATATATAAATTATTGGTTTATTTAATAAATATTTTTAAATTTTTATTTTAATTATTAAGGCGTGATGCACGTTCACCAAAATTATTTTATCCAGCAGTTGGATTTAAATCAGAAAAATTAGTTGGACGTTGTCAAATCGCTTATCGTTTAACAACACATGAGAAATTTCAAGAAGCTGTTGAAAAATTTCGTTCAATATTATTATCTGTTGCATTATGTATTGTTGAATCACGTCAAGATATTCTTGAGAGTCAACAATTAACTGAAATATGTAAAGAATATACTGTTGGTTTACAAATGTTAATGGCAAAAAAAAAAGATTTAGCAAAAGATGATCATGACATTAAAATCTTCATTTAAGCATTTGAAATTAAAAAATTATAAAGCTGCAACAAGCTTTGCCATACGTTTATTGGAATTGGAACCAGCATCTGATGTTGCTCAATAGGTTTTTAGCTTTAGTATTAATCTTTCATTTTCAAACCAAATATTCTCATTCTTTCTTGACTTCAACTTTGAAAGGTTTTAAAATAAACGAAAAAAACAAGAAAGAAAACATATCTTTAATGCTTTCATGATATTTCAAAGCTGTTGATAGAAATTTTTCATGTTTTTTTGATTTATTTGAAAACAATTGAGTTTATTCTTTGTTAAATGAAACATAATTTTGATTGAATTATTGTAGAAGACGAACAAAAAAAGAATAAAAAATTTTTTTTATTATTTTTTGTTTCGACACGAAGAGTATTAAATGTTTGTGAAAAAAATCCAATTGATAAACATCCATTAAATTATGATGAATATAATCCATTTAATATTTGTGCAGTATTCTATGTACCACATTTATCGCAATGAAATTTAAAAATGAAACCGAATTTAATTTAAAGTAATCTTGAATTCTTGTTTAGTGAAAATCCATTATCCGGTGCAGCCCATTTATCGGAATTTAAAGGACAATTATGTCGTGTTACAAAAGCGACTGAAATTGGAAAAGAATCTCTTGAGCTTAGAATTACAATGAGCCAATTTTGTTAGAATAAAAAAAAAAAAGAGAACTGTTTGTTTAATTCTATTTCATTATTATTAATTTTTAATCCATATATTTATCATTTTGAAAAAGTGACTTATCATTAGAACGTTTTTCTTTTATTTCAAGACAAATAAATCCATTTCTAAAACGAGAATTTAAAATCAATACATTTGTTTGAAATAAGTTTACTTCAGTAGGCATTGAAATTCTATGATAATATACAAAAATAAATAATCTCGGTTTATAAAACGACATCAATGCAACTGAGTACTTTATAATTGTTTAAGAAATTTTATCGACTTGATTTCATTTCATATTCAACCTTTGCAATATCTCCATTGACTCACTCAATTAGTAATCTACGCAGATCTATTAAGTCATTAATAAGACTAAGAGATAATTAAATGTCTAACGATATACTTTTTTTCTATAGATATCTTCATATTTAAATAAAAATAAAAATGAACAATGAGAAATAAATTTTCATTCTAAAAACTAAAATGGAAGATAATAATGATGATGATGATTTCCTATTCAACGGTTTATTTTCCCCAATTGAAAAAATCTTCGCTGATTTCGATTGACTTTTCTCCTGTTTCTCAACTACAGAGTTTCAAAGTAACAAAAAAATGAAAACCTATTCTAAAAACGAATTTTCTTAAATTAATATCTTTTGTAGATAATCATTACGGTGATGAAAATCTTGATTCTACTATAGAAAAACATGATCTTAATGGAGCATTTCCAAGAACTGTTATAATAACAACAATGAAACGAGAAACAACACCATCGGGAAGATGCGTTATTGAAAAACAAATTCAATAATCATCAAATCAAAATGAAAATATATAAAACTGAAACAGTAAGTATAATATGTGGAGATAAACATCATACAGCAGTAAAACAAGATGGTAAAATAATTCGAGAATATGGAAATGCAACAATGAATGAATTAAATCAAATTGATAAAGACATTCGGATTTTTTTAAAAAGCTTTTTTGTTAAATAAAAGATTTTTGTTGAAATGATCTACTAAAAATAAATGAAAGAAAATATTATTTGAGTTTGTTTTTTTCTATTTTGAAACAAAAAACATGTAGTTGTCTCGCTGTTTTTTACTTAATATATTTTATTTTTTCTGCTTCGTCAAAACTAAATCTCTTTTCCGATTGAAAATAAACTTGTCGACAATACCATCATTTTCCTCACCAACGACAGAAAAAAAAGAAAAAGGTGTCAATTCAAGTCGGATGAACATCCGATAGCTTATAAACAACTAGACAAAAACTTTTTTTTCTCTAATCTTCATTTACAATTAACTCACAAATTAGAATATCAATTTAATTTTGTTATTAGTTTCTTAGAAAAAAAAACCTAGCAATATTTCAATATCAATCTTCACCATAAAGTAAATTATTTAGATACGTTGGATAATAGATGAGTATCATTCGTGGAGGAAGGAACTTTTCTTTTCTTGATATTCTCATTAATCATTGAGTAACACTGTTAAAGAACACATAAACGGATGCGAAGAAAGCTTTGTGAAAAATTAAGAAAGTTATTATTCTCCTTTTCTTCTGACTATTATTTTCCTTTTATTTTCACTAATTCATTAAAAAAAGGGGTGTATGTGTTAATTTTCTTCTGATCTAAAGTCACACCCACACCCTCAAGTCTGATTATGAGAGTGATAGATTTTATCAGTACAGGCACTAAACATTTACATGTCAGTCGGTTATCTAAGTCATGATATGATAGGAAATTTCGATTTTTTGAAAAACAAGACAATCGAAAATAAAATACATGAAAAGCAGTCGTATATATTATTTATTCCTAGAAATATAAGTCTCTTTGGCGACTAGTCAGAGGAAAAACATTGTTTTTTTATATCTCACAGTCATAATAGTGATAGAAACTGTATAGTCTTTCTCTGAACAACAGTTCTGATCAGTCTAATTCAATACCGATATGGCAGCAGGCTATACGCTGGAAAGAGATGTAAAAATTGCGATGCTCGAATCAGGCTTCAAAATGGACAACTTTTTTATGGTATAGACTTGTCAGATCCGATAAAAATTTCGTTTACAAAGATTTCTTCTAGTTGTACTTGAGAATGATTTCGCCATTTTTGAAGAACTTGATACATGTAAATGAGTATAACATGATATATCTTTCTGAAGACTTCTCACAAATTGAATCTCAAAAGGACAATCAATACGTAAATGATTTTTTCGACACTAGTTAAAAACTTATCAACCATTTACGACACTATTTTTTGCTATGAAAAATTAAGTCTGGAGTCGAACTTTCATCCTAATTCCTTGTTTCGTTGTGATTTCTAGTTTATCTATTTATAAATAAATATCAATAGGAATCATTAGTGTAATTGTTAATCTTTCATGTATATTATTAATTCAATAAGAATTATTACATTTCAATTTGTTTTCTTAAAAAGAATATCGATAAAAAAAAGTTGTTAGCACAAACACTGTGAAATTAAAACATGAAATAAAACGAAACTGTGATATGGTATAAAAAATAAATAATCAGTATATGTTTCAATTTATGAATCGTACCTATTGTAAATAAATGTCGATCATGAAATGTATCACTTCCAATATAGTGCAATGAGTATGAAGGAAAAGTAAAGGGCAATTATCATACTAAGCTCAGCTCTTAGATGAGAAGTACAGCAACAAGATTCAAGTGTATGGATATTGCTGGAATAAAATTTGAGTTAGGATCTGTTCGAGTCGAAGCCAGTAGCTGATAGAATCCAGATTCAGTTTTTTGTTCTTCGGATCCACGAAAAATGTACACCTGTAACTCAATAACTTCAACAGTCCTTTTAGATCGTGTTTGACAAAATTTAAAAAAATTGTTGTTTTATTATTCTTTTGAAAATGCTTGTTAGCATAGTTCGTTTGGTGTCGATATATGGAACTCATATATACTACATAAGATAGAATAGTTGCTAAGATCCATAATGGAGAGAGAAGTCG